GCTGTTCTAACGGCAACTATTGCGGTAAGGGAGCTGATTTCTGTGACTGCCAAGGATGTGTGAATTTCAAAACGAAACCGTCGTATCGGTTTGGACCAAAGAAGTGGTGGACTCTGGAAGATGGCGATAAGAGAGCTGGCACTTGTGGTCCGAAAGCAGACAAGGTTGATGGAAAATACGAGGCCGAGTGCGAACCTAACACCAAATTCAGTTGTTGTAGTCCGAACGGGTACTGCGGTTCCGGATCGGATTATTGCGATTGCAAAGGCTGTAAACGATTTTAAAAATATCGTTTACATATAATTCGTTTTTCCGTAGTAACAAAATATTCATTTTTCTAAGTACATTTTCATATCACAACTGATGATTTTTTTTTTTACCGACCTCTTTTTCTAATGGTTTAATGTGGATAATTTTACTTTAATATTACTAATAATAGTTTACATAGCCCTATATGTACTTATTGTAAGAACTATTAACAAAATATGATTAAATTATAACGATATATTATATTATACTAATTATTTCAAACAAATTTATCCTTTGTAAAACTGGAAGGAATGTAAAATTAATGAAAAAAAAAAATTCGTGGATCCCGAGTTGTTTTGAATTTTAATTCTAAGAACTAGTGCAGCAATCAAGTTTGATCCTACCGGGCTAATGTCTTATGTTCTTTTATTTTAATCCTATTCTTTTTTTTCAAATTTTTTTAATAATTTCCAATAATTTTATTTTTTCAAATTATTTTATTTTTTCAAACAATGGCAATTTCAACATATTTTAACTAATTTATTATACAATTGGATCACCTCCTCCTGCTAGGTCAAAAAATGATGTATTTACATTATGATCAGTTAATAATATTGTAATAGCACCTACTAGAACTTTTAAAAATAAAATTTATAAGATAGCTGTGATTAAAATTGATTATGGGAATAAAGGAATTTGATTTAATTTAATATTATTTGGTATTATGTTTAAAATTGTACAAATTAAATTAATTTGCTCCTAAAATTGATGAATCCCTGCTAAATGTAATGAGAAAATAGTTATATCAACTGAAATATTATTATATG